AGTGCTTTGTTTGTAAGAGGTATGGCCATATTGCTAAAGATTGTAGAATTAAAGATAAGCAAGCCAATTTTGCACAAGAAAAGGATGATGAAACTGAAAGCTTATTTCTTGCTTGCTACACTGCTAAAGAAAATGTTCCAGATGTTTGGTATGTGGACAGTGGCTGCAGCAATCACATGACAGGAAACATTAATCTCTTCATCAACCTGGACAAGTCAGTGAGCAAAAAGATAACCATGGGTGATGGTACCATACGAGAAGCACAAGGAAAAAGTACGGTTAAATTGGATGAACATGGCAAGAATTGTATAGATGATGTCCTGTTCGTACCTCATTTGGATTCTAATTTGCTAAGTGTGGGTCAGTTTATGATGGATGGATATTCACTTGTTTTTGAAAATATGGCTTGCTATGTTTACAAAGATGGCACTAAAAAGGAGCTTTTAATTAAAGTTCCAATGGCAAAAAACAAGTGTTTTCCTTTAACTCTTGACTGTGAGTCTGCATTGAATGTCACTTTGCATGATGAAAATTGGTTGTGGCATCATAGATACGGGCATATGAATTTGCAGGGGTTGGTACATTTGTCAAAACAGAATTTAGTGCTTGGTTTGCCTATCATTGAACAAGTTGATGGTGTGTGTGAAAGCTGTGTCTATGGTAAACATCATCGGGATGCTTTTCCCAAAGGAAAGGCGAGAAGAGCTTTGAAACCTGCTGAGTTGACACATGCAGAAGTTTGTGGGCCAATGAATACTTTGTCTCTCAACAAAAGCAGGTATTTTATTGTCTTTGTTGATGATTTTAGTAGACTGACATGGGTTTACTTTGCTAAAGAAAAGTCAGATGCCTTCCCAATCTTTAAAAAATTCAAAACTCTTGTTGAAAAGCAAAGTGGATGTTCAATCAAAGTTCTGCGGATAGATCAAGGTGGGCAATTCCTTTAAGCCGAATTTAACAAATTTTGTGAAGATTTCGGCATCAAAAGGCAGTTGACAGCAAGCTATACCCCTCAACAAAATGGGGTAGCCGAAAGGAAAAATAGAAGCCTTGTGGAGATGGCAAAAAGCATGCTAAAAGCTAAAGGTCTTCCAAATAGTTTCTGGGCAGAAGCAATCTACACTGCAGCTTATATTCAGAATCGCTGTCTCACAGTAGCTTTGCATCATCAAACTCCTTTCGAAGCTTGGCATGGCTGGAAGCCCAAGGTAACTCACTTTAAAGTTTTCGGGTGTCTAGCTTATGTTCATGTTCCATCTCAAAAAAGGACAAAATTTGAGGAAAACAGTGTGAAGTGCATTTTTCTTGGTTATAGTGATGAAACTAAAGGTTATAGATTTTATGATCCTATCACCAAGAAGTTACTAATCAGTCGTGATGTGATTTTTGATGAGAAAAATTCATGGAATTGGAATGAAAAGAAAAGTCCAGGTTCTGTGGTGGTTAATGGCATTTTGGAGGATGATCCAGTCATGACTGAAGGTGAAATGGGTGAAGGTCAAATTTCCTCTACACCTAACAGTGGCAGCAGATCGTGTCCATCATCACCTAAGACACCTCCACCCCCAAGGAAGGCAAGGAGAGTAAAATCCTTGGTGGAACTCTATGAACAAACTCAAAGGTGTCAAATGACACATGTGGAGGAGCCTAGCTGTTTTGAGGAAGCAACGCAGAACAGAAAATGGTGCAAAGCTATGGATGAGGGAATAGAGGCCTTGGAAAGAAATCAAACATGGGAGCTTGTGGACTTGCCTAAAGACAACAAAGTTGTAAGTCTAAAGTGGGTATACAAGACCAAGTACAATTCTGATGGGTCAATTCATCAACACAAGGCTAGATTGGTTGCTAGAGGTTACATGCAGCAAGAAGGTGTGGATTTTGATGAGACTTTTGCACCGGTTGCCAAGTTTGATACTATTCGAACTGTTTTAGCTTTAGCTGCTCAATATAAATGGTCTGTTTTTCAATTTGATGTGAAGTCAGCCTTTTTGAATGGATTCTTAGAGGAAGATGTGTATGTACAGCAACCCCAGGGTTATGAAATTGAAGGACAGGAGCAGAAAGTGTACAAGTTGAAGAAAGCACTCTATTGTCTGAAGCAAGCACCAAGGGCTTGGTATGAAAGAATTAATGCTCATTTTTGCAGCCATGGATTTCATAAAAGTCCAAGTGAGCCTACTTTGTATGTTCAGACAAGAGGTGGAGATGAGGTACTGTTAGTGTGTCTTTATGTTGATGATTTAATATACACTAGCAATAGCTCTTTTTTGTTGAAAGAATTTAGAAGAATGATGGTTAATGAGTTTGACATGACTGACCTGGGTTTAATGAGATATTTTTTGGGGCTGGAAGTGGTTCAAAATGGTGAGGGAATTTTTATTTCCCAAGAGAAATATGCTAAAGATCTCCTTAAGAAGTGCAGAATGGAAGATTGCAACTCAGTGGGAACTCCAATGGTTTCTAATCAAAAGTTCAGTTTGGATGATGGAGAAGAAAAAGTTGATGCTCGTGCCTATCGCAGCCTTATTGGGAGTCTTCTTTATCTCACAAAAAGCAGGCCTGATATTGCTTTTGCCACTAGTGTGTTATCTCATTTTATGCAAAGTCCAAGCAAGACACATTATGGAGCAGCGAGGAGGATTCTAAGATACTTGAAAGGGACAATCTCTTTTGGCATTTTATATGCCAAAAATGACCAATTTAATTTATTTGTGTACTCTGACAGTGATTGGGCAGGTTGTGTTGATGATCGGCGTAGTACTTCAGGTTATGCTTTCTTTTTGGGGTCCGGTGCTATCTCTTGGAGTTCAAAGAAGCAAGCCTCCACATCTTTGTCATCTTCAGAAGCAGAATATATCTCTTTAACAGCAGCAGCTTGTCAAGCCACATGGACAAAAAGAATTCTGGAGGATATGAAGCAATTACAAGTGCAGCCAACAACAATATTTTGTGACAATCAATCGACCATTGCGATGACAAAAAATCCAGTATTCCATAGTCGAACTCGTCACATTGAGACTCGGCACCATTTCATAAGGGAGTTAGTGGCGAGTGGAGGCTTGGAAGTTGTTGATCAAGTTGCTGACATCTTTACGAAGCCACTTCCTTTGGATAAGTTTATCCACTTGAGGGATTTGCTTGGAGTTTTAAATTTCAGCATTAAGGGGGAGCACGTTACAATATAATGCTGAAATGGGTTTTTTGCTTTGGTGTCAATTTCTTTGCTTAGCTGTCAATTTCTGGTTTACGTGTCTTCAAGATAAATTGCAGGATTAGTTGATTATTTGACAGAGTCCAAGTTTGTTATTTAGTCTTTACTTAGTGAAGTATGGTTCCTTATTTTTAGAGATAAGATTAGTTTCCTTTTTTCAGATCATGTAGTCATCGTGTCCTTGTATTGTGCAATCTGTTGCTCTACATTTTCTATTTAAATGGGCACAGATCAGTTGAATAAATTCTCAATTCAATTTATCTTTTCTGTTGCACACCAAGTGTTTGATTAATTGCCTCATAGAAATTTCATTTACTTTAACCCCTATTTTTTATCAGAAACATGGATGCTTTTATCGCTGCCATTCCCGACAGATCAATGCGCCTCCACACCACACACAGTTACCAGTTTCTTGGCCTAGAACAGGGCAGAGGACTCTGGCATGCTTCAAATCTGGAGTCCGACGTGATAATTAGCGTCATGGATACCGGTATCTGGCCTGAACACCCCAGTTTTCAGGACCATGGTTTTGGTCCAGCACCAGCTAGATGGAAAGGCACTTGTGAAAGCGGTACAAACTTTTCCCATTAAACTGAAACCGCAAACTCATTGGTGCTCGATACTTTTTCCAAGGGTACGAGGCCTCGTATGGTAGAGTCAATGAAACCCAAAATTATAAGTCCCCCAGAGCAGCAAGTGGTCATGGAACTCACTGCGCATCAACTACCGGCGGCAATCTTGAACAGAACGCAAGTTTTTACGGGCTAGCCAGTGGTGTGGCGGCCGGAATGAGGTACACATCAAGAATCACAGTATATAAAGTTTGCTGGGAAGAACCTGATAGTTGCCAAAGTTGTGATATTGTCGTTGCCATTGATCAAGCAATTAAAGATGGAGTGGACGTAGTGTCCATATCATTAGGAGGTGGACAAGCTAACCCATATTCTGAAGACATCATAGTTCAAGCAGCATTCCGTGGAATCCAACGTGGGATCTTTTTTTCATTTTCGACCGGAAATGATGGCCCGCGTATAAATACTGTTGACAACACTGCACCATGGATCATGACAGTGGCTGCAAGCTACATTGATAGGAGCTTCCCTGCAATTGTCAAGCTCGGAAATGGTCAAATTTTTGAAGGGATATCTTTGTACTCTGGCAAATCATTAATGCTCTGTTTGGTAACTTGAATTTGATTGTGTGTATTTGAATTTGGAGTGCTCAAATTCAATTTTACTGTTTGTTTTTACCTAAATAAAATGTAATTGGATTTGGATGAAATACACGTATTTTAACCGGGTTATTCTCATGAGTAAATTCCGTGCATTTGAAATTCACCCTAAAACCCTCGAATTTCAATTTTGAATTGAATTTGCTCTGCACTCTCTTCTCACCGACGGCGATGGGCCTTCACCGTCCGCCCTAACTCTGCCGTTGCTCTCGCTGCTCTCGTTGCTCTCTCACCTTCGCGTCGTCGGCCACTCAACCTCTCCTTGATAGTAGGTTCTCAATCGCGCGCATCTACCTGAGTTTTCATCATCTCTCTCGATAGATCAGCGCCTCAGGTAATTCCTCTTCCTTCCTCAAATTTTTATTGATTTGCATATGAATACCTCCTAGATCAGCTTTATTTAATTCTGTATTTGGGTCAGAATCCCTTGATTTCGTTTCTTACCAAAGAATCTCGTCCGCCTTGACTACTTCCTGCCGTGATTGGTTTTGTTTTTTTTGGGTTCAGTTTTAAGGTTTGCTAGTTTGTTTGAGCTGATTCTGAAGCTTAATTTTGCTGCTTTGGTTTTCTAGGGTTTGGTTGAGCTTTAATTTGAATTGGGTTTGTGTGAAATGTTGGTTGTAAGTATGAATTCTTGGTTTGTGAAGTTAGTACCATTACTGGGTTTCCTAAGAAAAATGACATCTGATTTCTTGGTTTGTGAAATATGGCATAGTTAACAACATGAAGAAAAAAAAAGGCCTAAGCATATTTCAGGATTCAAAACTTTACCCGTTGGTAGTAATGGAGAATGTGTATAAAAATTTCATGAATTCCTAGATTGTAGCATGGATTCCTAGATTGTAGATTACTAAAAGTAAATTATTTAATTGGTGATTGTGCTGTTGATTGGGGACCTGTCTGTCGAGGAAGCCTTAAAATGCTATATACGTACACCTTGTATGTTTGAAAAGGAGGTTTAATGATTAGTTTTTGCTTTTAATAACCAACCACTGGACACCTAGAAACCAAGGATGGGGCTTTTTAAAGGTTGATGATTGCCCCAGAATTTGCTGGACAGCTTAGAACTATCAATGACAAGTCGTAATTGCCTTGAATGATTGATATTGGTAATATGGTTAGTGACAAAGTGTGTCTGTGTCCCTATGGGACAGGGAAGGGATTCCTGCTCAAGGGACATGTTTCTGCAGTCTGGTACATTATTACCAAATGATGTAGGACATCTCTGTTTCAAACTTTTTATCAAACTAATAATGTCTTGATAGATGCTGTCTGTACAGTAGTCTGTACAGTATGTTCCTGTTTTTTCTACTTCTGAATGTAAGTAATGCATTATGATCTAATATCCCTTTTGAGTAAGAACT